TCACCCTGGAATCACACACTAAGGTCAGGAGAATAAAGGAAACGATCAATAATTAAAGAAGCTCTTGATTGTTCAACAAATTCTCCTTGTCAGCACCTACAGGAAATGTATAGAGAACAGTATAGAGAACGTGCATACTGATATTAGGGTGTAAAGGTAAAGCTGTTAGAGGAATAGTAAGTGCGGTCTATTGCTTTTCGAAAAAAGTTACAGATTTTTAGGTGCAACTAAGTATAGGGTTTTGACCAATAAATATGAAGTTATATTTTCACATAATGTGTTGTGAAGATAAAACTTGGGGTGAAAATTTCTCGACGGTCAACAGAAAATATATAGGCATGCAACGCGTGCAAAAACATTTTTGTTTCCTTCTATTTCATAGTTAAATCGCAAGCAGTTTATCTTATTCCTCTGTGACTATTTTAAGATAAATTTCGACGCAAATGTGTATTAAAAGTTTTTTCTCTTTATGTTAGCCTTTCGTGCCACTTGGTTTCGCGCTTTTCGCGTCCTATTAAGATTTCCAGAAAACCGCTGATCTTAGCATAATGTCAGCTGGCTTAGTTGATGCGAACTCCTCTTAACAAGCGGACGCACCAGGTTCAATCCCCCGCAGGAATGCGCGTGATACTGTTCTCTTTTTCTCTGTCTCTGAGAACAACTGCAAAAGATTACTTGATTTCATTTTTTATTCATCCTTAGAACTTGTCCCAGCCTCAACTGTATATAGTTAACTATATTCCTCCTCCACAGATCGCTTAACAACTTTATTCCTTTTCATACTCAAATAACCGCAAAATATTTTTTAAAAATAAAGAACTAAAACAAAATCCACCTGTGTTACCTGAACGCTCGTTTACTCCTTAAAGGATAAGAGTAAAACTTCTATTCTTAAAATATTAATCCCACGATCGTAAAGAAATGAAGCAAATAGAAAGTTTTAGCGCCCCCAACATGCAAGAATGTAAATATGAAAATGAACTATTCTTTCGGCTTTCACTCTGATTTGCCAGCTAATAAAATGTGCCTGAAATGCCAACATATTTTTGATGTAGTCGTCAATGACTGGATGTTGTTTTCTAATCCATATTCATGAAAATCGTAGAATTCAACTCAAACCACGTTATTCGTCGATGAGTTAGGACTTGTATGATGAGCTCTGCGAACCAGCTAAAATGAACTTTGAAGATGTATGAAGAAACGTTCATGACTTGGAAGAAAGTGTGTACTTTACTTCAACAAAGGTAAATACAGAACTGTTCTTTTGGCAAATATGAGAGTTGAGCTGCAGAATGTTACCTTAGCTAGTCAACACGTGCGCGAGTTGTCGGCTTTGGGAGTCGGTCGCCAATGGCAAGAAACAGTACATTTATGTACTAAACTTCGAGTTTCTTACCGAGTCCTTTGAACAGAACAGAAAAAATTGAAAAAAGAGGAGCAGTCAGAACATTTTGTCCCGAAAAAAACTAGAACACGTTTTAAGTTGTCTACGTGGCCTCGTGTATCAATGATTCAGTTCTAATGTCCTGACGCACTTCAGTGTTTCATGTTTCTACCTTAACCTATGGAGTTTATGAATTGGGGAAAAATCCAGTTAACCATGGTTTAGCCTGTTGCTTATCGGTGGAATTTTATGTTTATGTTTTAGGAAGCCACATTGGTGAAAAGGAAAAGAATTGTGGACTGTTGATCAAAAGGACAACTGGAACCATTGGAATGAAGAGAAGATTCGACAAAGATAAGAACTTTACATCATTAAATATTTGTAAGAAAATGGTGACTAGAC